AAAAATATGTTTTAAAAACACTAATCTATATGGCGTTGAAAAAGATATACCTTCATAAGTTGTAACACTTTTCTATTCATTATTTATTTTTTAAATCTTCCCTTTTTTTTTTTTCTAAGATATTTTTTTATTTACAGCTTCTTTTATTGTATTCAATGGACCAAAAGAACCCTCGGTTAATGGAACATTGTTTGACTTTCTAAATTACGCTTTATTTCAAAAAGGTGGTGGAAAAGAGAAGAAATTTGTGTAGATTTTATTCAATTGCATGTAAATATATGTAATAAATTGTATGTATTTTTGAATAAAACAAGTTTTATCTCTTTCTTTAATCATACTTAGCTATTTTAACTAAACTAAACTGAAAAAGTTCTAAATAGTCTAAGTATAGACTATGAATAGATTTAATATCCATAATATACCTTGATAATGTACAGCAACACTAATGTACATGCATAGTACGTTTTAATGGTGATCATATTTTGACGCACATAGCACGTTTAAATACATATATACATTTTGACATACATAGCACGTTTTGATTGTGAAAAAGTGTTTTACAGTCGTTTAACGTTGATAAATCAACGTTAAAAAAACTATCGTTTTAAACGTTGCATCAACGTAAATTCAGCTTTGTTGCAACGTTTTTTCGCGTCGAATCAACGTTGATATAACCCGACGGGCATTTGTTTTTAAAAGTTACGATCTAAATGTATTTTATATGTCTTTTAAACGTCTTTTAAACATTATTGTTTAAAAGACGTTTAAAACACATTTAGAACGTAACTTTTAAAAACAAATGCCCGTCGGGAACGTTTGAATCTAACGTTGATTTAACGTTGATAAATCAACGTTGAATAAAACTTTCATTCTAAACGTTAAATCAACGTTAATTCAACTTTAGGTTTCAACGATATTTCAACGTTATTTCAACGTTATTTGCCAGCTGGGTACACTCTTAGCCACTTAATATATAGTGCTCCTACTCTTACTTCATGCAGTACTGCTGCAAAAAGAGAGATCCAACATTTTCATAAAAATGCCCTACACATTATTGGAATTGATGTAACCAACTCAAGCAGCTTCAACATTATTTTCGACATTGAAGAGTTACTAAACAGGACCTGTATTAATATACTCAAAAAAATCTTTGCAGACTCATGCCATCCTATAACCTCTAAATTAACTCACGCCAACAGCAGAAACCCTAACAGACTCCCGTATGCTCTTAAAATACCGCCAAAACTACTACTTACCAAAAATCTTTAATTCAAAAATATCTCCGTATCCTTCGTGAAATCTTATTTTTGGACTTTTACAGCTTGCGGTTTTAATATATAACTTTTTAAAAGGGGGATAAATGAACATATTGGCGGTTTTGTTTAATTAATTATAAGACGTTTTTCGTTGTTTTAATTTTTGTAAACAAATTTAACAGACGAATATTGAATACTTTTTGTTGAAATAGCTTGTATTACAAAGATATTAAAACTATAAAGTCGTTTTGTTCTTTATATTTATATTACAACAACGTTAGTTCAAAAAAAGGAGATAAAACTTAAATAATGTAATATAAAACTATACTTTGTTTGAGTCCGTTTTTCTTAATTTCCGTATATCGGACAAACGAATATACATTTGTGGAGATAACATTTCAACTTATTAACTTAAGTTAGTCCACCGTTTCTCTAATACAGTATAGTATTCGTAAATGCTCATGCAAAGAGTGGTAAAGGAGATTTTAACAGAATAATTAACAAATAACTTCCAATAGTTAAAAATATAAATAATTTAAAACAACACTGGATATTGTTCACTGAATCAAATCTAAATCGTAAAGAAACTCATTATTTCATATCATCTCAAAAGTTTCCTATTTAAAGAATAATTTCAAAATCCGATTATAATAATTGAAAAATTTGTTATTCATTTGTTTTATTTATTAATTTATGTTATTTTCTTCATTATAGAAAAATAAACCATTAAATAAAAGTCTTGTAAAAGCTAATGCAGAAATACAATCGAAAAATAAAATATAATTTTACATATAAAGGTAAATGTTCTCAAATAATTAAAAACTTTTTAATTATTTGAGCATATTGAGGATCTTAAACTTTTAAGATCCTCAATATGCTTTCTCTTCTTAATTGCCATTTCGTTTGCCAAAATGGTTAATCTCTTTCTCATAACCTTTTTTCTTGGACTCAACTGATCAGCTCTCAACCTGGATAGTGATTCATAAAAAGAGGTTTCTAAAGCAGGACCAGATTAAGGAGATATGTGATCACTATTTAATACAGATGAAACACTGATTTGTCGAGAGGAAAAGGAAGAACACATAGCAATGTGAATTGAGGTTGCAATTGATTAAGATATTTGTGCCACAGCAGATGTTGTTATATGGTATGCAAAGAGCATGTTGCAAATGTCACAAAACTGTTTCGAATCTCGTAAAAAATGTTTTACAAGGTTTTTTGATGTTCTAACTAGTTGGAGAATCTGTAGATCTAACTAGTTGCAGAATACTAGAAATTTTGATGTTAAAATACTTAACAATTACTTCTACAGTTACTTTATATGAATCGTTATTGGTTGCCAATATATTCAGTACGTGTCCATTTCTACAGCCAATATTTAAATGAGATGGTAGTGGAAAATTACAAGCCAAATAGCTTTTAGTTTTGAGAAATGATTTCTTTTTAAGTCCCATGATGCACTAAATTAAATTCAACAATCATAATTCTACTACTTAACTAGGTTAGCTTTTAAACATAATTAACTAACTTTAAAAATCATTGTTATTCTATAAAAAAAATGTATAGCTACATTTATTATTAATCATATAGATAAAAAATGTATATAACTTTTATTTATTATATATAGCTTAAGGTGATTATATGGTAAATTCTATGGAAAAAAGCTAAGAAAATGCTGTTTTTGTTTTAAATTTTTTTTTACATTTTATGCTGAATCACCATATAAAAGTGTCATTTAACTTTTATTTCAGCATTTTAAATTATATTTAACAGAATTTTGCTTTGAAACTAATTTTGGTATGTGAAAAGAGTAAGCAAAAAAATTTTACTATATGACCACCTAAATATACTTGTTTTTGTGTAAATGATTATAAAATATTAAGAAAAAATCAAAAATATTCTTAGTAATAAAAAACTATTTAACAAAAGTAAAACTTTTTAATGTAAGTTCTAATAAAATCCCCCCCCCTCCTCCCCAACCCTATGCAACAGAAGTGGGAATACATACCTCGACTGGGGGTGAAGGATAGGGGGTGTGTTCATTAATATTTTTTAATGAAATTTGGCAGGCACATAGAAAACAGATTTATACAGTTGACTGGAAAATTTTAAAAGTGTACCAACATGCTTTTTATATTAATGCACCTCCAGAACAGGAACGAAATTTTAAAACCTTATCAAAATCACTGGTAACTGTAAAAAAAAAACAACAAAATTTATATCAAGAAGTAACATTAACAGTAACAGTAATAGTTTAATAAAGTATAACAGTAACAATATTAAAAGTGTACCAAATAATAAAATAAATATTAAAATATTAAAAATATTTTAATATTTATTTAAGATATTTTTAATGAATATTAAAATGTACCAACATGCCTTCAATATCAATGTACTTATAAAACAGGAGCGAAATTTGAAATAGAAAAAAAATCACTTAAAAAGTTATTAACTGTTAAAAAAAAACATAATTTATTCAACATAAAAAATTCTAATTTTTTAATAAAGCAATTAGCATTTAATGTATGTAGAGAATTAAATCCATAGTATACAAACTTACCAGTCATTCACACTTAAGACAACAAAAAAAACAACAATTTAAAAAAATTAATGTAACAAAACAGCAATGTTATTTTTAGAAATTAACATGTGAAGTACATACAAATTAAGAAGTGAAAATTCATAAACATACCAGCAATAGTAAGTTCAGAGAGGACGAAGGGTAATAAAAGGCATACTAAACAATAACCATTTTCAAGAAATTGGCTTTGGTTAATTTTTATACAAAGGAAAAAGTATAAATTTATGAACATACAAGTCATATAATAATTTTGTTAGGTATATACAAATAAAAAAAGTTAGAAAGAATGAAAATACCACCATAGCAGATTTAGATAGGTCTATAGACAACAAAAGGTTCAATATTCAGTAAAGCTGAATATTGAATCTTTGCAACTTTAGATGAAAAGGTTTTCTAGTGAAAGCTTTTGAATAAATTGCAAAGAAGAATTTTTGAGCAATTGACAAAATATATAAAAAAGTATTGACAACTCTTGAATAGTTTTTTTTAAAGTATTGAAAAACACCTCATGCAATTATTGCTTAAAACTGCTTTTACTAAAACTAGTATATAATTGGCAATGTACACAGGACACGGTATATATCCAAAACTAAACGTGCTATGTACTTCCAAATTTGACCGCCGAATGTGCGTCCTTATATGACATCAGAACTTACTTTACAAACTAGAATTTAAAATTGAAAGTACAAATTTGACTTTTCTAAAAACTTGGAGAAAAAAACTTTCTTTTCAAAATTCAGTGTGTCTAAAAATTAATCTAACTCAATTTATTTAATTTGTGAAGATAAAAAAAAACGTAATTTTTCCTTGGTACAAACCCCATCTCTGGGCAAGTTTTGCGACATCGGTTGGGAAGGAGGCATGAACTTCCTATTAAATGCTTTTCCGCGGTACTCTGTGATAAGACCGTAAGGACTTCTTGGGGCACCATAATCAACTTAAAAATTAAAAAAAAAAAATTTTTGCAAGGACACCGTAGGTGATCTCTAAGTAACGGTTTAAAATGTTTTGTTTTAACGGTATCGGAAGAAATATTTATAACAATGTTTAGTATATTGAAAATTTTGAAAGGTATATGCTTTGTTATCTTTATATTACCTTATATTTTGATACATAAACTATCGGAATATAAACTAATTCTTTTGAAAAAAAACTAAATAGAATGCGATGCGATAGATGTAGTTTTAAATAGAAAATACAAATTTAAACATCAAAAATTACATACTACAAAACTATCAAAACTAAATAAAAAATACAAATTTGAATAAAAAAATCAAGTCGTTAAAATAGATTAATAGTTTAATCGAAATGTCTTCTTTCGTATGGCGTCCTTTTTCAATTCCTTTTTTCCTTCTGAATAAAATAAACAAAAAGAATAAAATCAATGAAAACAAACAATGCAATATAATACCGATGCAGCGGTCGTTCAAGCTTTCATGTAAAAGCTTTAGGATTTACCTAATAAAAAAGTGTTGCACAAAAAAGTGGAAAACTTACCAAAATAATTAATGACATTAAACATTTTGATGGAGCCATCTTGGGCTTCACTCCACGGATCTCCTGCGTAAACGGTGACATTTGTAAATACTTGTGGGTTTGCGTTTTGTACAGTATATACATTTTCGTTATTGATATTTAAAGTAAAAGTAGCTTTTCCCGATTCAAGGTATTGACGAATATGAACCTTTATCCACTCGCCTTTTTGAAGTGGCTTGGAGTTAAACCAATTATTTTTATTATTGTTTATTGCAAAACTAACGTGTAACCCTTGCTGATAAACCCAAATGCCAGGAATTCGATCACCGTATATCGAATTATCCTCTCCTATAGTAAAATGAATGACACTTCTAAATCCATCTGAAAAACTGTTGAGTTTTAAATCGAAATAAATATCAAATAATTGTTCTAATTTTGACAATATCGCAACCACGTTATTTTTCTTCAGAGTCTCTTCAACTTCATTATACACAAAATCTAAAGTAAAGAAAAAAGCACCTTTTGATTATCTTTATAATAACTTTAATTATAAGTAAACAGTCAAAAACAAAAATTTCTCCTAAATATAATGTCGTTAAATAATTGTGATAAATCTTACATTTTGACTTTAGTACGGCTTTCGCTAAAGTTTCACCTAAAATACCGTGGGAAAAACAGAATCCATTTAAATTCAGTTAGACAATTCATTAAAAGTAAAAGTATGAAAAATGAAAATACTGTTTAAGAAATTAAGTTAGATATTTAAGTAAAAACAATAGTGTATTTAAAAGTTTTACGTATGTACATTTTCAATTATTAAAATACAAAACGAAAAAGCAGACTCTTTGATACGCCTGATTTAAATGCGTTAGACAAAAATCGTAAAAAAGAGTATTAAAAAAAAGTAATACCAGGCTCCCCGTTTTCAAGAATAAGATTTTTTATTGATCCATCTTGAGATGGATACCACGAATCTGAAGCAAAAACTTTGACGTTGTCAAATTTTTGGGGTTTAGTATTATTTTCAGAAAAGGCGTTTGTTCCATTTATTTTGATAGTGAAAACATAATTGTCAACAACACGTTGCTGACTAATAAAAACGTTTGTCCACACATTGAGGGGAAGTGTATCAATAAAGATTCCTCTATTCTTATTTCCATTTATCGGTGCACTAATGTGAAAACCCTTATAGTTAGATTCATAGGGTCGAAACCAAAGTGCCGGGGTTCTGTCTCCGAATTCACTGACATCATTACCAACTGTGAAATGAAGAACACTATGAAAACCATATGAGTATAACTTCGGTTTTAAATCAAACGATATCTTGTAGGACATAGCTAATACAGGAATAGTGGCTACTAATTCACCTGTTTTTAAACTTGTTTCATAATCTCTAATCAGCACATCTGAAAAACACACACATAAAGGCAAATTTTAAAATTAAAACTAAAAAACGAACTGAAACAACAACAAAACTTGTTTAAAACAAAAATCATACTTTTTAAATAAAAAAACGTATTATTTTGTAAAGCATTATACTAAATTTCTGACAGATTGCGTAGTTGGTAATATCTTGCTTTATTTCCACTGATTGGGTTAACTCAAAATAATGTTTTTTTACTGTATTGAAACTTAAGTTATTGCCGAAAAAGTTGACATAAAAACCGACCATTTACCGAAAAAGTTGACATAAAAACAGAAGTAATAAAAATCTTTTTATATGGCGTGTCCAAAAAGGTTATTGTTTAAATTGGTTTATCTTTAAACTCAATAATGTGGAGCTAAAACAAGATAACCCTAACCCTGCCAGATGTTATTTAATTCTTATATTTATTTGATGGTATTATTTGAAACCACTAAAGTATTTTAAATTGCAATATTTCACGTACGCATACGAGTACATGTTTTAGATTGTTATGTACATGTACTCGTACATGTTTTAGATTGTTACGAAATTTTTTTAAGTTCTTCAGTTAAAAAAAAAAAAATATCTTTAATCAATAAAATAAAAAAATAAAAGTTTTGATACCTAAACCATGTGTAACCACGAATAGTAAAACAACAACAAGTATCACTTTCTAAGAAAAAAAAACGTACTTAGTTAAGTCAAACTCATTTTGAAATATTTAAAAGAAATATAGTAAAAACGCAAAAGAGAACAAATTGTATCTTTTAATACCATTTTATTTTATGTTATCTGTATCGCGATGTTCGTTTTCTCTCTGCAAATGGTTTGATAAATGTGCATAGGTTTACCAAATTACGCGTCTTTATATAGATAGCAAGATTACTGGCGTGTGACGATTTAAATGCTCTATACAATGGTTTTTCAACTTTGATTTGTAACTTTATCTTATATTTCATTATTTAAAAATAATTTAATAACCCTTTGACGTAAACTTAAAAACTATAATATCTCATTTTAAACAGATTTATGCAATTCTATTAATTTAGTTGAGTCCTTCTAAATCGGGGTCATTATTAAGGAGGTAACCCATTAAATCCTTTCTAAATATATATATATATATATATATATATATATATATATATATATATATATATATATATATATATATATATATATAGATATATATATATATATATATATATATATATATATATATATATATATATATATATATATATATATATATATATATATATATATATATATATAAATATATATATATATATATATATATATATATATATATATATATATATATATATATATATATATATATATATATATATATATATATACGTATTTCTAAATGTTGCGAAAAAGTCATATAATAGACGACTTGGATTATAAATATAAAAAGTTTGTTCATTACTATGTCCTAGGAAGTGACATTTCAAACGTTTTTAATTCTGCTCTAATGTTTTTTTTTATTTTATTTTGAGGCCAGAGAAATTTTTTTATTATTACTCCAAGTTAAAAAAAATTGCTATATCATTTTATGTGAAACATTGACGTGAAGGTTTTTCAATAAATCGAGGTAATGTTATTGAGGCAAAGTTTTATTAAGTATGAACAATTCATAATATTTGATATTTTTTTACCTAGGAAATCAAAAACTATCACTTGAATGCCGTTAAAAGTCCGAAACGGATTCATTTTGATTTTTATCAGTGATAAACACCTCAAATAATTTTGCTTACCTCAAAACAGTTTTGAGTAAATCATGCTGAAATCATGTTAAGAGCTTACATTTTATTAAAAGTAGTTTTAATTACGTTGTTGTAATTAAAACTACTCAACATTTAGCGACGTTAGAATTATCTTATTCTATTTCCACATTTTTTAGTTTTGAGATAAAACGATTTAAAAAACAAAAACTTTAGGAGACGGCCTATAAATTTTTTTTTATAACTTATGTTTTTTCCGCAACTTTTTTACTTATAACTTAGATTTCATTTCAGTAGAAAGACATTATTTTGAGGAACACAACACTATCATTAATTAATTTTTTCAGAAAGTGGAGATAGAACAAAATAATTCTAACGTCGCGATTTGTTACAATAAGAAAAAACATTTTCTGAAACTGTGTTTACTATCAAAATTGTTTTCAGTCTCTAACAGATTAGAATTCATTAACTTCTAGTTTATGTAGCAAATAATGTGTTTGCAAATTTTCGAATTTGCAAAGGTGGCGTAAAAGTAATTTTTTTATGAAAAACGTTTGTGTTTTGTGTAACTTTAGTTTGAGTTGTTGGTAATTTTTGAAACGTCATAAAATTGAAGACAGAAAACGCATAACAAGTTATATTTCTCAGAGTCCGTGACCAGAAGACAAAGCTTTTTTTGAAAAAAACATGTTAAACTTTATAGGAAACTTTTCTATTTGCAAACTAAAGATTCATGCAGTGATTTGATCATTACGATAAAACAAACATACTGACAAATCATTACTGCTTCATGACTGAAAGTTTTTTTAAAATTTGAATGATTTTCAATACGTTCGGCATCTTGCCCTCCCTCCTTCCCTTTTTTCTTTTTTTTTTTACTGTCCCTTTTTAATTGTGTGGTTTTTTAAGACGGTTATTTTTTGAATATGCAAGATAGCATACGTACCAGCAAATTTAAGCATATAAGCCTTATCGAGTTTTTACCAAAAATCAATCATGTCTGTATATAGTTGTTGAATAATTGCTGAGTTTTTAAATTTTATATGCGTAAATCTGCATAGCTATCTAAATCGCTTGATAACTGTTTTCCTTAATTTAAATTCTAAATTAAAAGAAGACATATGGCTAAAAGACAGACGTTATTTGTCTACTTTATAGAAATTTTTGATAGTTATCTAGATAAATCTAGATAACTATCAAAATCTAGATAACTAAAAGAATGTTTTGTTATTTCTACTGCACTAAAATGTCTACTGCATTAAAATGTCATTAGTAAGTCTCCTGCATTTAAATGTCTTTTAATGCTATTTAAACAAAAGAAACTACGCAGGTAGCAAATGCAACTTGACTAATTAAGTCGTTTCTGAATTAAGAATGTAAACAGCTTTATGTAACGTAGGGCGAGAAAAGATCATTACGTGAAAAGCGCTTTTTCTGTTTTTCGTAATAAATTTAGCGTTGCGTACGTTACGGACGATCCTTTAGTCTTAATGATCTATATGTTCTTACAACTTTTTTGTTTCGACGAGAAGTTTTTTTTTTTTTCAATTTGTTATCGCCTTTTTTTTAATGTAGCACTCATATTTTTTGAACATTTTCGTAATTTTAATATCGAAAAATAACTAATCGAAAATATGAAGTTTTATAAGAACTTTTTTGGAATCAGTTCCAGCATTTTTTTTTTTTTTTAATTTATAAAGTTTTTTTTAAAAGGGAACGTTAGCTCAGAAGCATAACTAACTCTGTCATGATAAACTAATGATATGTTAAGTGTTCTTTTTAATTATTATTTGAACCTTTTGTTTATTGTTTTTTTTTGTTTTTTTTTAATGCAAGACTTTTGAATAAAAAAATAATAATTTTAAGTTTTTTTCAACAGATCTTAATAAACGATTTTTGATAAGAAAATAATTCCTCACGAATTTAATAATGGTTTTATAAATCTTATAATGGATTTTAATTAAACTGACAGAAAGTCAGAAGACTTTGAAAAAATCGAGCAATCTATATATAATCGACTAAAATGCTCTTACTAATCAATTAATATTCGATATAGTTGAATGATACCCAATTAGCGCAAGACGTCCATAATACGCACTGTTTAGGTCCATTCGTCCAAGCCCAAAATGGTACGTCTATGGACGTCTAATGGTAATCTAAATACGTACCCTTTTGGACATGGACGAATATGGACGTCCTAAAACGTCCAACCCCAAAATAGCATGCGTGAATATAAATTGTTTTAAAGCGGTTAAAGAAACAGTATGAAAGTTGTCAATTTTTAAACTTAATAATTATTTAGTTAATGTTATCTTAACTGGTTCAACTATATAGCTCTATAAAAATATATTTTTATTTAGATTAATAGAATTATTTTGGGACTATTACAGCGTGCGGTTTTAATATACAACTTTTTAAAAGGGGGATAAATGACATATTGGCGGTTTTGTTTAATTAATTATAAGACGTTTTTCGTTGTTTTAATTTTTGTAAACAAATTTAATAGACGAATATTGAATATTTTTTGTTGAAATAACTTGTATTACAAAGATATTAAAACTATAAAGTGGTTTTGTTCTTTATATTTTTATTACAACGTTAGTTCAAAAAAAGGAGATAGAACTTAAATTATGTAATATAAAACTATACTTTGTCCATAAAACTATACTGTGTCCATAAAACTATACTGAGTCCGTTTTTCTTAATTTCCGTATATCGGACGAACGAATACACATTTGTGGAGATAACATTTCAACTTATTAACTTAAGTTAGTCCACCGTTTCTCTAATACAGTATAGTATTCGTAAATGTTCATGCAAAGAGTGGTAAAGGAGATTTTAACAGAATAATTAACAAATAACTTCCAATTGTTAAAGTTATAAACAATTTAAATCAACACTGGATATTGTTCACTAAATCTAAATCGTAAAGAAACTCATTATTTCATATCATCTCAAAAGTTTCCTACTTAAAGAATAATTTCAAAATCCTATTATAATAAATGAAAAATTTGTTATTCACTTGTTTTATTTATTAATTTATGTTATTTTCTTCATTATAGAAAAATAAACCATTAAATAAAAGTCTTGAAAAAGCTAATGCAGAAATATAATCGAAAAATAAAATATAATTTTACATATAAAGGTAAATGTTCTCAAATAATTAAAAATCAATTATTATTACAAAGTTACTTAAACCTAATGCGCTAACCATTAATAGAATAATCCTTCACAATTAAAATACCTTTTGTCTATTGCAATGTGCAATGTATTATTAAATATTCCTTATTTACTATTGTGTATTAAAATTGTAAAACCAATGGTAAATGAGGTTTTTGATAAAATAACTAATTAATTTTTTTTTTATAATTTGTTTTTATTCATTGGTAATTATGGGTTATAATTTACTAGTTTCTGAAAGCACATGTAATATTTTTTGTTGCATGAATAGCTTTTTTAGTAAAACTTTTCAAAAAAACTGACCTTTATTGAGATTATAACATTTATTAAAGAAGATTTCCCAAAAATGTTTTCAAGAATGGACATCCTCAAACTGATATGTATATAGACTGTACACTATTTATCATTCAAATTTAATTTCAACACTATTGATTTTTGTAATGACAATAATACACAAAAAGGAATAGCCTTATGTTATTTGATACATAACTGTATTTAGCCATACAGAAGTTGACTTTTTTTCAGTAGTAATTATATATATATATATATATATATATATATATATATATATATATATATATATATATATATATATATATATATATATATATATATATATATATATATATATATAATTACTACTGAAAAAAAAAAAATATATATATATATATATCCCAAGTAGCAAGCAATATTGGCGTAATATTGGCACGATATTGGGTATCTTGGCTTATCTTGGCCAATATATCTGATATTGTGTCAATATTATCAAGCAATATTATGACAATATTGTCTTACCAATATTGACAAACATTTTTGTGCCAATATAATCCCTTTATCGTTTTACTGATTTTTTTAAGCTAATATTGGCGAAATATTGCGCCAATATTACACCCGATCCTAAATAAAATTTGTTAATCACATCAAAATAAAATTTTGCTGTGGGTTTCGACCTAATCAGCCATGTATTTGCAACACCACAACACTTGTGGTAGTTTTTTTCA